ATCAAAAATTACCATATATATTATATTATATAATTATATTAATAAATATTAAATTATTAATTAATATATTATTAAATTAATTATTAAATTTTTATTTATATATATATTTTTCAATTTTAATTTTTTCCTAAAAAGTTAATAATTATTTTTTAATTTAATATATATTTATATTTTTATTATATTNNTTTATATTATAAATCATTAATATTACAATATTTACTATTTATCAAACTTTATAATATAAATAAAATTAATTAATGATTTTACTATATTATTTTTTTATCATTATTATTAATATATTATCTTTATTTATTCTTTTCATAAATAATATTATTTTAATTTATATTTCTTTTTTTAGTTTAATAATAAGTATAATTAAATTATTAATTATATTATTTCTTTTAAGTAATAATTCTATCTTTAAAATTATAAAGACTAAATTTTTTATTTTTAAATTAATTTATAAAAAAAAGTAACTCTATAATTATAATATTAAATTAATTTTAAAATTATATTTTCAAAATTAAATAAAAATTTTTTATTATTAAATAACTTATTAATATTTCACTATAACTCTAATATATCCATATAGTACTTTAGTACCCTTTTATTAAAACACCTTCTCTAAGATACCCTCTACGGAAGACCAATCTATATAGTATAAAAAAAGGTTCCTTCAATTCTCAACATTATTGCAAGTAATCTACAACAATTCAAATATTTAAATTCAAAGTGAGGGTAAAGTACAGTATGTTTTCTGACCTCTTAAAGCTTCAATCGTCGCTGTATTAATTGGGTATTTCCACTCCATCACTTTCCCCCATCCTGGCTTCAGTTAGTACGTTCTCCGTAAAATGCGATATTTCCACATATTCAAGGATAAAAGCAATCTTACCCCAGTAAGCACATTTTCTACCAAGGAACTTCCCAACAAACGGTACTAGGACCATTGTCAATAGCATTTCGAGTTGATGGAGACTTTCTCTCCATTCTGCTTCCGCATCGGATTCCTCGTCACTGTCTACCGAGAGGTCGCGGTCGAGGAATGAATCGGATCCTGGCGAGGATGGGAGCGACGCTACATCGTCTTCCGAGTCAGATGTAGTTCTTGACGTGAAGGTGAAGACAGAGGAAGAGAGGGAGCTTGGTTCGAAAGTTGATGTAGAGAGCGACATGTCTGGGTGGTAGTCGGGAGGCCTGGCTGTTGCTCTAATGTGCTCCCGCGTCGGCCAGGCGTTCAGCGTCTCAATAGCTAGACACGCTTCATCAGAGGTCGTGATACCGCCTTATCTATACAAACACGCCCACTGAAACCGTCGGCTCTTCGGTTATCTTTTGCTCGTTGTGTTATGTTGTCATCATGTCACTCTTCTAAAAAACATTCAGCGCGCCGCAGCAGCAACAGCGTTAACTAGTCATCTATCACGTGACTGATAGTTCCAAAAGGTTCCTCACTCTTTGGCTCGCCACCAAAACCGCCTGACAAAATATATTTCGGCTGAGGTGACAAAAAATATAAAACCATCGAGATATAAAACGTACTCCACGTATTCTCCTGCTTTCTGCGCAAGAACCCATCAAGAGACTTGGTCCTCGAGTGAATCTAGCTATAAAGAACATCGGGCTATCCATCATGGCTGATACTGTACGTCATTTGAAATTTGCTTTGCCCACAATCCCCTCCCCCCCCTAAAAAAATAAAAAAAAAAAATAAAACAAAAAAAT